AAAGAACTGTTACTGTTTGAATACATTTATTGAGCTTTAATCACATTGACTACTTTGATATAATACAATTAAAGAAAGCAAATTAATGTAAAAATAATTCAATTTCTTTATAAGCATAAATTTTATTATTTTAATTATTGAACATACGCATGTTTTTGAAAATATAATAATACTAAATGCATCAGAATGATTGCATAGGAGGAAAATACTCAGACCCAAAGCTATTGATGAGTATAACATATTCTTTGGTCATGTGCAATTTAACTTTCATTATCTTCTTTACTATTACTATTATTATTAATATTACTACTATTATTTACTCCTTCTGATTTATAATAAGCAGCTGATCGTTGTGAATTTTATAATAAAGGTAATATTCAATGATAATTCTGATCAATAATCTGAAAATGAATTTGCTTGTGAGAGCAACATTTTAAAATAATAAAGTCTGTTAGTTACCTTACATTAGACTCGCTTACTAATACAATTACTGATTTTATCCAATTTAAATCAATTGAGATCTTACTGAGTCTTGAAGCTAGAAACAAGAAATTGTTTATTACAATACTTAGTAAAAGTAGTTCACGAAGCTTTTTCGTAAAATAGCTCAATTTCAGTTATTTTTTATAGCAAACCTTTTTGAATCACAATATTTAAAATAAACGTCATTAATGTATATCAACATGCGTGAATTTCTGTGCATTGATTATCATTAGTTACATTTTGCATCTAGAAAACAATCGTTATATTATGAAAAGGTCTAGAAAGTTTTCAATAATATGTTATTGATTAAGCCACCGATCAGCATTATATCACATTGTACAGCACATTTTTTTAACGAAAAAGTTTCGTCTTTCATATTATCATAAAGAAATATGAGTATACCATATGATGACATGAAGAAGAAGCATGATGAAACTAAGGGAAATTGAAAAGGTTAGGATTAGAAAGGTTAGAAAATCTGAAAATAAGTTTGGCGACTGAAAAATGAAGAAATGAGAGAGAGAGAAAGAAAGAGGTGGATAGTGGAGAAGGAACAGCTGGAGCAGGAAGAAGAAGAGTTGAAAACGAATGTAGAATACTAGAAAGAAGAAATAAAAAGGCTGATGACCTCTCAGCCAGGTAATGACTTTGTGACTCAGGTATTAGAACATAAAGTAGTATAGAGTAGATATAGTAATATACTTCTCACTTATAAATTTATTCTATTAAGTATTTCATACACATTCTTATTGCTTACATCTTATAATGTTATCTTAATCCGTTTTTTATACTTTTAGAACATCTACTAAATGAAGAAGATATCTGTTATCTATTCCTCTAACCATTGTTTATTCTCTAAATGCTAGTATTTCAACACGTTTTATATATAGCGAGAATTTCTAGCCATCAAGAATAATTCCCTAGAATGGATTTCTTAAAGAATTAACTCAATTCAGCTTCGATCAAAGAGAGCGAAAGTTCAGTAGGTCCTAATTCATTGAAGGTATAAGAGCTCATATTGAATATAATATTGAAACTGCTATAGACTTTAATATCTTTTATACATTGAACTCGCTTTTGTCTCTAACATTTGAGTTTTTAAAATAAAAAGATTCTGACTTTAATTCTAATGATCTAAACATTGGTTTTGGAAAACCAGATTTCACTTGTCAAAAGTATGATAGTTCTAATGATCATACAGGAAAAAGAATCATAAGCATAGAAATCAAAAGAGACTGTATTATGACATAATTACGTGAGATTAATTTAAATAAATTATTTGATGAATACTTTACTGATAATGCACATGGCAATTTAGTTAACATAATTAGTCAGATTTACAACTATATGATCATGAACGAATTACAATATGGCATACTTACAACCTATAATTACTATTGGTTTTTTTGCCATCCAAGTGCTAATCTATCAATACTATTAATTTCTAAATCTCTTCCGTTATACAGTCAACTCTCTATAAATGCACTCTCTATAAATACACACCCTCTATAATTGCACCCTTTAGCCTGATCTCTAGTTCAGGACATAATGCTAAATATACATCCTCTCTATTCGCACTGTGCAATAATTTTCCAATCTGGTCTATATTAAAATATATTATCTAAATGCATACATGTAATATTTACGTGACTTCGCAATAATAAAACGTCTGATTGATATTTGTCTTACAAATAAAAAGCCACATTTTTTTTCTTTCATACTCCAATTTCTTTGATAAATGTGTTATTGTATCATTGTATTCTTATATTTACCTTCCTTTATCCTTTTCATATTTTAGCTGTATATTTTAGCTATTAGGTTTTAAATAAAGTTTAATAAATATGAGTTTAAAAAAACTTATTATTCAAAATTTAGTTTTGAAAAGTAAAAAAAAACCTTCGCCTTTTTTAATAATTCTATAAAACTAAATATTTGTTAGATGTATTTTTTAAAAGAGGCTGCACAAAATTCTATAATGAAAAATCTTTCTTTTTTGTTTAAATTAATATTGCAATACTATATTAAGAATATATTTATTGTAATTTTCATCTTAAAATCCATCGCATCGCATAATTTTTTTCCAACATGTCATCTTCTAGAAAAAAAAAGTAACACTTTCAAACTCTCAAAATATGAATTTTATTTATATGCTGATAAAAATAAGAAAATCCGACTGAATATATAGATTGGATTGAAGAAAAGTGAGGCGTTAGAGTTAATGAATCTACTATAATGTGAATTTTACAAAGTAAAAATAAACGACTTATCACGAAACTTACTCAACAGAAAAAAAGTGTCATAAATCTGTCACTTTTCCTGAATTAGAACTTGCTCTTAAAGAGTTTGTGCTAAATTATTAACATCGAACGATTTTAAGTGATGTATTATTAATTGAAAAAGCAAAATTATTGGCAAATAGATTAGAAATTCCTGAAGATACCTTGAAATTTTCCTCTAAATGACTTCAAGGTTTTAAGAAACATAATAGAATTCACCAAGAAAAACTTCAAAGAGAAGCAGCATCTATTGACCAAAATATTGTTACTGAAGCTTTACCATTATTGCATAATAAATGTGCTGAATATCCTTTTGAATGGATTTATAATATGAATGAAACAGGTCTTTTTTATCGGTATGTATTCTTTTTTTATATTTTATTTAATATAATATTTATATTAATATAAATATTTTTTATAGATTAGAACCAGATTAGACTTTAGCTACAAAATGTTTTTCTGAGTGTAAAAAAAATAAGGAATGTCTTTCTATTGCATTATGTGCAAATGCTGATAGGTCATACAAATTACCTCTTTTAATTATTGGAAAATACGTAAAATTACGATGTTTTAAAAATGTAAATATTTTCAACTTTCCAATGATATATCAAAGTAATCCTAAAGCATAGATGCTTACACATATTTTTCAAGAGTGGTTTCAAGAGTTTGATTATCTAATGGCTTGTAAATATAATGGACAACGTGTTTTATTATTATTAGATAATTGTTCAAGTCATAAATTATAAGGCTTAGTACTTTCACATGTTGAAGTTTATTTTTTACCTCCTAATATAACTTCAAAATTACAACCTATGGATGCAGGAATTATTATGTCTTTTAAAAGACATTATCATCATTTATATATCTGGTAAGTTTTAATATTTTTTTATTTAAAAAATTTTATTAAAAACAAATATTAATTTTTATATTAATTTTAGTTAAATACTAGAACAAATTGAGGCTGGTGAAGATATACGAGATTTAAAAATGGATGTTTTACAAGCAATCTGATACATTATTTAAAGCTGGGATAAAGTTACTATTAAAACAATTCAAAATTGTTGGTGTCATATTAAAATTTTTTTTTTGAATAATGCTGATGATATTGATAATGCTGATGATATTAATAATACTGATGATATTGATAATACTGATGATATTGATGAAGATGACAATCTAATACTTGATAAGCTTCATGATGTAATTAAAGCTCTTTATCTTCCTAATGCAATAGGAGTAAAAGAATTTCTTACAATTTCAAAAGAAGATATCATTTATGAAATTCTTGAAGATGATCAAATAATTACAGAACTTGTAGATATTTTTAAATCAAATAGAGATGGTATTGAAAATTTGGATGATATAGATGATAGTACAAAAGTTCCAACTGTTAGTATTAAAGTAGTATTGAAAGGTTTAGAAAATATTCATACATTTTTATTTCAACAGGAGGATGCAAATGAATATATAAAATTAGTAGATAAAATTGAAAAATTTATTAAAAAGAAAAAAGCAAATACAATGCAACAAACTACTTTGGATCAATATTTTAACTAATTTGTTTAATAAAAGATTTATAATAAAATTTATATTTTAATTATTTTAATTAAATTTTAATTATTTATTTTTAATATTTATATTATAAAAATCCTTAAAAAAATATTTTTTCTATAAATACACATCCTTTATAAATGCATGCTTATATTCAGTCCCAAGGGAGATGCATTTATAGAGAGTTGACTGTAGTTAACAAGTCTACCAGTATTCAAAACTTATGCATACTTAGTCCGTCTAGCAACAAATGAATCTAAATCACCTCATCCAAATGTAATTTCAAGATGAACTAAAGAAGATATTAGAGTACAAGGTTTCAGAATTCAAAACTCAGATTTCTATAACCAAAGTTTTAGTTAAAATTTAGGTCTAGATAGTAGTTATCACAACTAGCAAGATTCTAAAGACTAGATCTCTGAAGATCAAGATTCTATAACAGGAATAGAAAAACAGACTTATGGCTATAAGGATTTCAAGCTTAAGGGTATTCTAGAATGTAGACAAATTAGAAGGACATTTTGAGCCAGATTCTATAGAGAACTAATTGCTTTAAAGGTTATTGATCTATATAAGGAAGCTGATCTCTTGTATAAAATTTGAAAAGAAATTGAAATATACAAAAATTTTATCAAAATTCAAGGAATATATATTCTCAAATTGGTATGTTATAGTTATTATAGATATGGGATGGGCTATTTTATGGGTGTCACTATTGTTGGTATTACTTTGAACAACTATAAAGTAAGTTATAACCAAAAGTATAAAGCATTGGAGGCCTTAAATGCTATTCATAATTATAATATTCTTTACAATGATATTCGACAAGAGAATATTTTAATTAATGAAAAAGGTGAAATTTATATCATTGATTTTGGAATGTCTATTGTAACTAATAATAGGAAGCTATTTTATGAAGAGGAATGTGAATTATTCAGTTTATTAGATCGTTATATGTAATGAATATTTGTCATACAAAATTTATAAATATTATTTGCATTATTAAAAGTACCTATTTGCTTAGAAAACAAATAAATGTATGATTGTTATGATTAGTATGTAGAATTAAAATTATATATATAGGATATATTTATGGTGATGTATCTGATTCGAATATAATTGCAGTTGACATCCCACTTAAATGGCAAACAAAACAATATGTCTTAATTGATTTTCCATCTGTAAGCAATGTTGCAGATAAATTACCATCATATTTATATGTAAATACTGAATTTGTATCACCATTGATACTTTATTTTGGACGTTCATATAATGATAATCTTGTCAGTCTCTTACTGGTTCTTATAAAACTACTCGAAGGTTCACTTTTCTGGTCTTAGTCTTTAAATAAAATTAAATGGAAGTGTTCTTGCAAAGCGTAAATTTGCACTTATAGAATTGTTTACAATACACTATCAACTAAGTACTATTAGTAAAATTATCTCAAAACATGTGAAGGATCATTATGTTGAATATTTATTGTGTGAGTTTGCATAATGGGCATGATATTATGAATAGGAGGTAGAGGGTCAGTTAGATTACAGTAAATGAATACTGAAATTCAAAGTAAATCTAATACTAAACCTTTGAAATATAAAAAACATCAAATATTAGTTTATTAAACTAAACATCTTTTTCTTTACGAAGCAAGTAATGTCGCTATTTCAACAAAAATAGTTTCTTCTAAAATAATTTCCTATGAAAGTTGTTCATCACACTAAAAATTTTACATAAGCTTACTAAAGACCTGTAATGATTGCAAGTTTTTATCAAACTTCCTGCTTGACAGTAGATTTAGAAATTTATTGTAGACTTGATACTATTGACAGAGAATTCTAGTTTATTAATTGTCAAAATTAGCATGATGATCTAATCATATGTGTGCTATATGCAAATTGCTATATTAATATGTATAAGTAATAAAATTTATATATAGAATTATCTGTATATGACAAATAGTGAATATAATAACTCTACTAAATATGAAAAAGCAATATGTTTCTTAGAATTAAATTGCAATTGTGGTTACTCAAGAAAGATTCTGAGAGAAAATTTTGCTAAATTATGTGAAGCATTTCAAGTTCTCTCTAAATCTGAACAAGATATATTTTTAATGACTCAGTTGAGAGTAATAAATGGTGGAGAGATAACTGCTAGTCAATGCCTTAAAAAGAAAACATGTACTAATAAGCGAACGTTTTATTATTGAGATCGCAATACATCATTTTATTAGAAAACGTATCTCAATATGTTAGAAATTGATCGCATGCATTTTGAAAATATCAAAATCATCTAGCAAGAATAGTATAATACTGCGTATTTATGATAACTTAAAAAGAATATCATAATAGAAAACCAAAATAACCATTGATATAGCGGTTGCTACTACTGTGAAGAATTTTCTTGAAAACTATGCTGAAATTCATGAATTATCAAGTCCTGGTAGAAATGTCAATTGCATTCTCAATCACTTACATTATTGCTAGCTGAAATAAGTTATAAATCAGTCTATCATGATTTTATTGCAGGTTTTGAAAATGATAGCACATTAAAATTGTTAAAATATGACATATTCTGCAAGTTATGGCACCAATTAACGTTTTATATTTAAATTATGAATTCAGAACAGATTTATGTGATATATGTTAACATTTTCAGAATGGTTTATAATATAATGCTCATAAGAAAGAAGAAGCAAAAGATTTATTGAAAAAATTCAAAGAATATAGTTAAAGCTAAATTAGAGAGAAGCTATTACAACAAAAATATGAAATTAGTAAAACAACAGAAGAAATTGGTAGATGAGCATTTTATAATAAAGGTAAAGCTGATTATTGCAGCATTAATACTAATGCTTATTACAGTTACAATTAGATACAAAATGTTTATGTATTTCATTTTGATCAACAGGTAAGTAAAATTTATTATCTCAGTCTGCATAAAATGCATTTATTTAGTATACAAGATGAAGCAGTATGTGAACAAATTAATTATGTTCTTGATGAAAACGAAATTATTGACAAAAGCCCTAATGGCATTTTGAGCCTGGTATTCAATAGAATTAAGAGATTAAATAAAGGTAAAAAATATTTAAAGATTATTTGTGATAATGCAGAAAAACAGAATAAAAATAATGCTACTAGAGCTCTAAACAGGTCGGTTTAGGTCAGGTCAATCAAGTTACTTGAATTAAGAAAATCAGGTCAGATCAAACAAAAATCTAATCTGATTTAAATTTTCATTTGACTTGACCTGACTCAACCTGATCTAATTTAACTTAATTTAATCAAATTATTTAAATTATTTAATAAATAATATATTATATTTGATTCAATTTAAAACTCTAATTTATTTTATTATTTTTCTTTTGCTTTTTCTGTAAAAAAAATTGTATGCGAAATGATATGAAAATTTTTAATTTAATAATTAATTACAGTTGCACAATTAATTACAGTTGCATAATTAATTATAGTTAGTGCTTCAAAACCAGTTTTTAGTTTTCAGATTTAGTCTATTTAATTAGTAACCGGTTTTAAAAAAAATTTTAAAGATCTGACAACTGGTTTTTTAATATAAAATCAGTTTTAAACTCAAATTGATTTATGATTTCAAACTGATTTATATATAAAATTAGTTTAAAGATTTAAATTAAAATTTAAAATATTTATTTAGAATAGAAAAATATATTTAAATTAATTTTTATATTAAAATTTGTGAATCGTAATACAATGTAATTTATCAATATACCATCTTATTCTTTTTTTAATTTTTATTTCAAAAAATGGATGAAACTAATAATAAACATAAACGAGAAAACTCAAGTATTATTTGGGACTATTATTTTGAGGAATATGATGAAGAGGAAAACAGTTATATCTTGTTTGTCAGGTATTATAAAACATTATAAGTGGATAAAAGGTTCTTCAACTATTACTGCTCAAGGACATCTTTGGTGGGATCATAGAATTGTTAAAAATTATCTAGAAAAGCCAGTAAATACAGATAGTGATATTAGAACAGTAATAAAATATATTACTATAAAGCGTCAATTATCTTTGAAACAGTCTTTTATAACTTTTATTATTGTTGATTATCAACCATTAAATATCCTTTGAAATGATGCATTTCAAAATATGCTTCATGAATTTGAACTAGGATTTAGAATACCAACTGAAGAAAAATGCAAAGAAATGATACGTAATAGTTATAATTAGATAAAAGAAAATCTTAAGGAGTTATTAAAATCTAATGCAAATAGCATTAATATTAC